TATACTTTTTTGCTGAGGTCAAAATTAACCGAGATAGGGTGGCTAGAAGCTAGGGGATGATAGTAAAATCACCCCGCGAAGGGGTGAAAAATATAAGTAAGGAGTTTGAAAAAAAAATATTTCAATAAAAATTGTCCCCTAGCTTCTAGCTCTAGTAAAGTAAGCGAGACCCATTATTTCCAATTGTTCTTGGCAATCTAAAACAGAATTTACAAAAAAATGAAGTGAGAAAGTAATTAATTACTTTCATTTTTGTTAGGACTAATTTATCTTAGGCATATAATGACCTAACTATTTAACGAGTGTCTAAATCGACTCTTACAATAAGATATCCGAGCTCATGCGGTCTCTAACCGATGTGAATGCTAGCAGTAGGCCTAAATATATTTTGCGTAGATTTGTTTTTTTTCAGAAAATTAATACTGAGTATTAATCATTTGCTGATGATGCTAACATGGTTAGCGAAACTCGCGTCCAGTGCAAAAATAAAAGTGTTTTGGTGAATTAGTGTTTTATTTTGATAGAAGATATACACAATAAACTATAACATCAAGACATCGAGAATCACTATTACACATACCGATCACAACTACTATACAATATGGAAACTTAGACCCTTGAAGCAACCTATCAAAAATAAGGTTGTTCGAGATGTGGCTCTATATAGTCCAAGAAAATAGGTCTTTCACTAAGAAGTTTTGGTAAAAACTTGAATTTTTGATATAAGTTTTGAAAAATCTAAAAACGAATTGTGACAGATTTTTTTATCACCCCCGAGAAGGGTTGAAACAAATAAATAAAATTATTTTTTCGAAATTTCGGAGAAACGGTAAGAAAAAAGTTCAAATAAGAATTGTGGAGCGTCAAATTTTACTTAGAAATGATCTCTATACTTTTTTTGCTGAGGTCAAAATTAACCGAGATAGGGTGGCTAGAAGCTAGGGGATGATAGCAGAAATTTAAAAAAAAAATCTAAGTTGCGGAAAAATTCATATATTTAACATATTTTTTCAATTTGTTTGGAAAATTATATACATTTCAATTAAGATTTTTCTAAAATCACCCCGCGAAGGGGTGAAAAATATAAGTAAGGAGTTTGAAAAAAATGTTTCAATAAAAGTTGTCCCCTAGCTTCTAGCCAACCTATCTCTAGTAAAGTATGCGAGACCCATTATTGGCAATTGTTCTTATATAGCTGACCCGGCAAACGTTGTTTTGCCATATAAATATTTTTTTTATGGGAAAACAGTAATTTTTATTTACGAGGTTGAAAATTATTGAATTACTAATATCGGTATTAAAGACCAGCTTAGTTAGTTAGCAGGAACATTATATATTTGATGGTAGAAGGGTACAAAATTTAGGGCTGTATGAATTTATTAATGTCACACCATAAAAAAATAAAAATTAAAAATGTCCAAAAAATAAAAAAAAATGGGGTGGACCACCCTTATCACTTAGGGGTATAAAAAATACATAACAATAAATAATAATAAGTAGGTAGCTAGATTATGACTTTCTTATATTTTACATATTTTTCCTATTGTAGAGAGTTCCAACTGCTTCCAACATAATGCTCTTGTTTAAAGGGTAGTACCTACATCCTCAGAACGTTCGTTTTGGGTCTAGGGCCTTCATTAGAGAAACTTTTACATATTTTTGTAATAGTTCCGATATGACTTCCAATTCGACAAACTAGGACTGTTTGGTGTCTCGAATATTCCAACCAAACTAGGACTTAAACTGGGCATTCACGGGCTGTTTGTGCTATATGGAATATGGGATGTTCATTAATTCTTCTAGACTTTAGATACTACTATACCTATGGGTTTGAGCATCATCAAAATCATAAAATAATGAATAAGCAGATCATTATTAGAGGAGAGATTTTGGTACATTCGTAGGAATCTTTACAAGTCACTGACAGATGAACTATATTTTTCATATAATAATTGACGAACTATTTAAGTTGCAGTTCTGTCTTCTTACTGAGGTATTATGGTATATTTTATATTTATACAATATAATATTCAAGGAAAAGAGAGAATATCTGAAGTGTTGGCAACACTGTTGCGCCATCCTTGGTTCGTTGATTCGATGTTGCCTTCGCTCGCCGAGAGAGGAGAACGTAGAGAACAAACGACTTCGGAGGGGCCATAGAACCCCTCTTTCCCCGTCTTTTATATAGGAAGCCTACTATGTGAGGTGCGCGTCAAGGAACGCACGGAAAGGTCCAATTTAACTTTTTTTCTACTAATGAGATAGAAAGCATCATCATATTTATTCTATAGATAATCAAAAACTATAAATTAATTATATTATCAAGTTCGTAGTATTTAGTAAGTAGTTGAGAGTAACATCAATTAACTAAAAAAACTTCTGAAAATAGGTATAGTATTTATTGAAACAGGAATGCGCGATTATGCGATTAAAATGCTTACTATAAAGATATACCATATCGGTAAGAAACATTCTTGGGCCGGTAAGCCGAAGAGGAAATAGAGAGGATTTAAATATTTTTTACCCATATAAAAGAACAATTTGCCTTCCAAATTTATAAATATATATCAAGCTTGGTGAATTCTTCGTCGGTGCTGCCACCATCGGGGGATACCGTAAACAGCCGACTAAACAAATACACGGGTTTAAATAGCGAGAACACGAAAAATTTCTCATTAAATTTTTTGAAGATGTGACATTTTTAAAAAAAAATTGGATTTTTTTTATAGTTTTTAATACTTTAGTCGAGCACTTCTGATTTCTGCCGTCTCAAGCGTTGCTGTCGGAAATTTTAAAATCAACTGAAATGCATCTTAAGTCTATAGAACTGTTTTACCTCTAATTTTAAACATATTTTATTATGTTTTGTATTATTACCTTCCTAACAAACATTATTTTGCAATTTAATTATACAATTATGCGTTTTATTATTAAAATTTATTAGAACATGTAACTATACTATACTTTTATTTACTATACTTTATTTTATTAAATAATTAAATCAGAAAACATTCTGATTAAATCCATTTTTCATCTCGTTTTGATTTGACTCGCATTATTGCGGAAATTATAATTATTATAATTAGAATTATTTATTAAATTTAAATATTGTCAAAAAATCAAATCGATAGTCACAAGAGTTGATATACAGGGTGTCCGGAAATTAATGCCACAAAATTTGGTCATAGAGTTGGTTTGGTCATTCGCCCCTAAAAAGAGTTTTTTTAGTATCTCAGGACCCTGTTGGACGAAAATCACTAAATTTGGTACACGTTGTTTTACCATTAAATGACATTTTTTGATGCTATTAACTTTTTTTTATGTTTATCAGTGGCATCCCTACGGTATTTAAACTAAATATTATTGAAGAAAAAAATGGTACGCCACTGTTTTTTATAATTAAAAATTATTTTTAAAATCTACATTAAATTTGGAACAAATTTGATCTCTTGACTTTTTTTTGGTACGACGCACCGTTTTCGCGTAAAAAATAAAAACCATTTTCATACATGACTAAATCGCTAAAATTTTACCGTAAATTTCAATGGCAAAATTTTTAAAACGGCAAACTTATGCTTAAAATAATTTTTTATTTTCCAAAATCTTGTTTTTATTACCTAAGTTCGAACCAAAATGTCCAAAAACCTAAATTGCCGTTTTTTAAATTTTGCTATGAAAATTTACATTAAAATTTTAGCGATTTGGACATATATGAAAAAGGGTTTTTATTTTTTTAAGCGAAAACGGTGCGTCGTAAGAAAAAAAGTCAAAAGATCAAATTTGTTCCAAATTTAATGCAGATTTTAAAAATAATTTTTAGTTAAAAAAGAACAGTGGCCTACCATTTTTTTCTTTAATAATATTTAGTTTAAATACCGTAGGGACGCCACTGATGAAAATAAAAAAAAGTTAATAGCATCAAAAAATGTCATTTTATGGTAAAACAACGTGTACCAAATTTAGTAATTTGCGTCCAACAGGGCCTTGAGGTATTAAAAAAACTCTTTTTAGGGGCGAAATTTAGGGAGCTGTAAATCCGAAAAGGGGGGGCCACTCGCCAAAAATAAAAAATACGGGCCAACTATTTTTTTTCAAGAATCTATGACCAAATTTTGTTGCATTCATTTCCCGACACCCTGTATATAGGAATTCAATTTTTTTAAATTTATTTGCCAACCAAACGAGCAAAATCAGAATAGCCAACTATTTCAATTATTGTATCGTTGATACAAGGGAAATAATATGTATTTTATGATGTCTTGATGGTAGTATAGCATAGTAGGCCTCAAAATACTCTCAACGCAAACTGGCTGATCGGCTCGGTCGTACACCAGTGGCCGACTAGGTAGAAGAAAACGACATATGGTGGTACCGTGAGAGAAAGGAAGACGCTCATCGTTAACGTTCCACCGGAAACGCCAAACAACTGCGTTATTTTTCCGTAAAAAATATCCTTATTTTTTCATCGCACGTATACCAACCAAGGTATAAGAATTATTTATTTAAAAAAGTATACAATTCGAAGGATTTCTATAAGAGGATGTTCTTACAATATTCGTTGTTTAAAATGACTAATTATTAAGATAATAATAAAACAGAACATAATAATAATAATAATATGAGGAATAACCTGAAAAGCACTATACTACTCTAGAGTAGGGATTTACCGATTCATATAACAGGAATCCTCCGTTTTTGTAGCATTTAAAGAAGCATTAATAAATCCGGCTCTATCAATACTCGCACCATCTCATTTTAATTTGATAAATATCAAGGAAAAAACTAACATTAATAGAGTACAATAGGGTCACTGAATTTGATATTGCCTTTAAAAACAGTTAAGAGGAGTGAGGACACCGAATTTGATATACTTTTCGTAAACTTCATATTCTTAATGAGCTATAAATATAATATTAATATAAAAAATAGGGAAAATAAAATTTAAAAAAAAACAACCAAAATACATTTTTCTTAAAAGGTTTTTAATAAATAAAAATAAAAACATTTAATTTCACTTTATTCTAAGGATTTATATAATGCGTTATGTATAATAAAAAAAATTATATATTTTTCCTTGTTACTTTGACATTACAGATTACAGTATGTACAAACAATAATAAATATTATTTCTGTTTAGCCAATTTCTTTTTTTAGGATAATAATTTATACAAACAAGTCGGTGAACTTAATGAATTATATTACTATATATTTTTGTTTATACACTTATTCTTCAATAAATTTGAAGAGAATCTCTTAAAAACTAAGGATACAAAATCTCATGGAAGGCGCAGATATTTTAGCAATTGGAATTTTGGGGCTTTTTGCTTTAACATGTATGTACATTTTGACAAAAAGGGCTGTATCTTCCATCCGATTTTCCATAGCTTGCCTAATAAAGAATTGCAACGATCATGGATATAAAACAATCATATCCACCAATGTCCGTATTGTTACGTCTTCACTATTCTATCTTTGCAAGGTTTCAGTTAAACACCACTTATTCCTTGCTGCTAGTTTTGTTCTTCTGTCACGCGCATGCCATCTCCTGTTTGCTAGATTTCAGTGCTGCAAGGATGCAATAAAAACATATTAAACATCTACACATATAAATATACTAAATATCTAAAATATTCCCAGTGGTTTTATTTTAAACAAAAGGATTCAATCATTTCTGAAAGTACTATACATATATATGTATTTAATCATTTAGAAATGCATGTATGTTTTAAAATTTACAATTACATAATAATCAGCAGTATACTTGGCTGTATCGTCATAAAAAGAAAACATTTAAAAGTTTAGAACTCTCATTCTCTAATTTATGTGAAAATTGTAATATTTAATTTCAAAATCACATAATTATAAAGCTAATCTATCTTTACAAAACTGAGTTGTGTTAAATCAATAAAAAACATCAGTTTTTTAAACAAAAGAAGAAAAAAAAAAGAATAAAAAATAGCACGGGCGTCATATTCAAACTACTTTCGCTTTACGAAATACGTTCCAATTCTGAAATAGAGATGTATCAAATATTTTGATACATCGAATATTCGACAAAAACATCGATGTCAAATTAATTATTAGTCAGACGAATTTCCCATTAAAATATTGTTTAGCTATCCCCCGCTTACCCTCGCGGTCGCGGGGAGGTCATCTGATATAGAGGGCCTCGCTCTGGGTCCTGGCTAATAGGTTAAAAATTGAGTATGGGAAAATTTCTAGTTACGCTACTGAGTTATAGTTCATTATACAATTATTTTATAGTTCATTATTTACAATTATAAAGTATAACGAATTATTATTTTACTTTAATATCATTATGTCAGATATTTTCAAAAAAATGTTTGATTTACGAATATTTTTTAAAGTTTAAACAGAATCGATACTTTTCTACATCCCTATTATGAACACCGACTGATCATCAATTCTAGAATTGCGGCGTTGCCAGATCTGTAGGTCGAAAGCGAACATATTCGATAAAAAAAAACTTTGATAGATATTTCTGAAACGTAGATAAAAAATGAGTTCAATTATTAACGTCAATATAGAGAATTCAAGTAATTCACTCTTTTTTGTACCATTTTTTTTATACAGGGTGGTCCGAACTGTATTCCGGAAACATTCCGGAAAAAATTCGGCAGCATATTTTGCAGTTAAAAATAAGTAAAAAATTTCCTATCAATGTATGTCCTAAAACGTAGCTTCGGAGATACAGGGGGCGTAGAAGTTTTATTTTAATTTCGATTTTTTCCAAATAATTTCTGAGTGACTTCAATATTTGGATGAAAATTAGAGTCTGGGAGTTTTTTGACATGAGAAATTTGATTTTGATGTCAATATGACTCCTACTTGTAGAGGGCACCACCTACGTATTTTTTAACTGGTTTGAAGAGTAATAACTTTTCGTCCGTACCAGTATAAAACTACTGAGTAAAAAATATACATTTACGACGTTTTCTACGTAAAAAAGGTCTCTTGGTAAAAATCGCTACGAGTAATGGTTCTCGAGATATTTGGAATCGAAATTATCAATACCTGTCGTCATTGACATAAATTAAACATGTTGACTAAATAGTTATTAGACTTAAATCATAAATTTCAAATGTTTTAGAGCCAAAAGTTCAACAGAAACAGTTTTATCATTTAAGAAAAATTTATGATTAATTAAAAAAAATAAAAAGTTTCCAAATTTATCATTTCAGTCAAATAACTATCTACTCAACATGTTTATTTTTTGTCAATAATGACATGTATTGACTATTTCCATTCTAAATATCTTGAGAACGGTTGCTCGTAGCGATTTTTATCAAGAGACATTTTTTACGTAAAGAATCACGGAAATGTATATTTTTTCACAGAGTAGTTTTATACAGGTACGGACGAAAAGTTATTAATCTTCAAAACAATTAAAACACATGTAGGTGGCGCTCCCTACAAATAGGAAGCATATTGATTTCAAAATAAAATTTCTCATGCCAAAAAACTCCCAGACGCCAATTTTCATCCAAATCTTGACATTACTTAAGAAATTATTTAGAAAAAATCGAAATAAAAATGAAACTTCTACACCCTGTATCTCCGAAACTAAGCATTTTAAGACATACATTTATACAAACTTTTTTAACTATTTTTATCTGCAGAATATGCTGCAAAGTTTCCGGAATACAGTTCGGACCACCCTGTATATACATGGTGAGTCTTAAACAAGTGCAAATATTTTTAGGGGTTGTATACAGGGTGGTCCGAACTGTATTCCGGAAACTTCGGCAGCATATTCCGCAGATACAAATAAGTAAAACAGTTCGTATAAATGTATGTCCTAAAATGCTTAGTTTCGGAGATACAGAGTGTAGAAATTTCATTTTTTTTACGTAAAAAAGGTCTCTTGGTAAAAATCGCTGCGAGTATGGTTTTCGAGATATTTGGAATCAAAATTATTAATACCTGTCATCATTGACATTAATTAAACATGTTGATTAAAATAGTTATTAAACTGAAATCATAAATTTTAAATATTTTTGTGCCAAAAGTTCAACAGAAACTGTTTTATCATCATTCTTTGCAGAAAAATTTATGATTAATTTAAAAAAAATAAAAATTTTCACATTTATTATTTCAGTGAAATAACTATCTACTCAAGTATGTTTATTTCTCATCAATAATGACATGTACTGACTATTTCCATTCTAAATATCTTAACGGTTGCTCGTAGCGATTTTTACAAAGAGATATTTTTTACGTAAAAAGTCACAGAGATGTATATTTTTTCGCTTGGTAGTTTTATACTGACAAAAAGTTATTAAGCTTCAAAGCAGTTAAAACACATGTAGGTGGCGCCCTCTACTAGTAGGAGTCATATTGACATCAAAATCAAATTTCTCATGTCAAAAAACTCCCAGATACCAATTTTCATTCAAATATTGACGTTACTTCAGAAATTATTTAGAAAAAAACGAAATAAAAATGAAATTTCTACACCCTGTATCTCTGAAACTAAGCATTTTAGGACCTACATTTATACGAACTTTTTTATTTATTTTTATCTGCAGAATATGCTGCCGAAGTTTCCGGAATACAGTTCGGACCACCCTGTATATTTTAACCCGAGAAACACGTTTATGAGGTTTTTTACGAGAAATGTTATTTTTTTAACTTTTACTTAAAACACATAAAACATATCTTCATAATATGGCAACATATTATGTAGTAGATTAAATTTACAAGATAGAAAACCTCCCATATTTTGGCCCTATTTGAAAAACGATAAAAAAGTATGTTTCTTTTATGGAGATCTACTAGTACTGAAAATATGTGCACTTATTTAAGACTCACCCTGTATAACCATTATATTATTTATTTTTACTATATTTGTAACATAATGTTCTGTATAAATATTGTTATGAAATATTCAAAAAGATGAATTAATTTATTCATCAAACTGACCCTTTTTACCTTCTCTCTCCCTCCTCCTGATCTTTTTTCTCCGTCTTTCCACAGTTGCCAATTCGGCTTTAACGTCGGCGTATGTTTTCCTCAAATCGCTCAATTTCTGCTGCAACAACGCTATCCGTTGACCGCTATCCAAACTCGGATCTAAAGCAACAAAATATCCATAAGTACAAAAATTATAATTTAACATAGGTATTTATTGTAGAGCACGGAATAAAAAATTAGAAAAGTTAATGGAGTTAAAGTTTTTACAATAATTCCCTTTGTTAAAAAAATATAAATTCTAATTGACATGACTACGAGGAAAGAAAAATTTATATATTATGAAGACTTACCGAATTCAACGAAGAAATTGTACTTGGAAGGTCTAGGCGACCTAGCTGCCCTATCGTATAAGGAATTCCCGCTGACCGGCGTGTGACCCCCGGTACTACCCGCCACTGAATTTTCCGAAGCATCGTCACTGTCGCTGTCCCGCCTCTGGCGACTGGCCAGTGGCTTGCGTCCCCTTTTTGCCGGTCCGCTTGGTTGAGAATTCCCGTCCTCTGATGTTCTCAGCGAACGCCTACGTTTCCTACAACCAATGGGCGGTCCGCAAGGATTCTCAGAGGATTTTTTGGAAGGAGGAAGGTCTCCAATTTGAGTATCTGGAAAAAAAATTGTATAAAAAATGTGCTAAACGCTAACAACAAAAAATATGTTATTACCTTCTTCGCTGTATGTCGTAACTTTTATTGCACTATTCCTTCTTTCAGTTCTGAATTCAGGTTCGCCTTCATTTGACTTACTACTGTCATTCGAGTTGGGTGATATGTTACCATTTTCTCTATAATTAGAAAAATATTGTTAAAAAACATCTTCTGTTGACAACTAACCTCAATATTAGATTAGCCTGTTTAATTTAGAATTATTATCTTTTTTATTTTTAATTTTAAATAACAGGTCTATTTTTGGCTAATTTGTAAAATGCATACACTGAAAAAATGTCTAGTCTCTCATATAACCATAAAGTAATGAAAATTTAACAACTGGCTTTATTAAACATTAAAATTATAGGCTAAGTATATGTCATATATTTATATGATAAACTCAGAGGCCACGAAAAAATCACCCGTATATGTGTCGCTTCTGTATAGTTCTGTATTAATACAATTCTGTATTAATACCGTATGATCGAGAAAAAACGGCGTCAGCGATGGCTATGGAATGAAGATCGCTGTCATTTTATATGTAAATTTATATGGGAAATGTCATTGATGTTCATTTCCCAGCCAACTGGACGCCGTTTTTTTCGATCATACGGTACTTTACATGAAAAAAAAGGAGTTTTAAATACGAAGAATAAAATGACATGATATAAAATATTTAAAAATATCCTAAAAAAACTTACCCTCTGGGTGATAAGTTGCTTGAAGAACTCTCTGGAGTAGTTGGTGGTATATTTTCAATTTCAACTTGAGCGTCCGATTTATTTTCCCTTTCTCCAGACACTACCGAAACCAGCGGAGGTACCACTTTCTTCTGTTCCATCAACATCTTGCAGTTACTGCTACTTGGAGCGCTGGCAAAGGGCATCTCGTGCATCTAAGACAAATATCACTCATTGATATTTATAAACCTGGATATTCATTTATGACTTACAGATGAACTGCTAGGAATATCTGCAGGATTCGGTACTTCCGGTGCCGGTGCTGGACTTCTAGGAAACTCTTCCTCGCAAAGCAACAAAGAGTGCAAATTCGGATCCTGTTCTTCCTTCGCATTTTCTTCTTTAACTTCTTTTTCTACAGTAACTTCTAATTCTATCTTGGTTGCCGCCGCAATTTCTTTAGCTTCATTACCAGTATCTTTCTTTCCCTTTACATCGTCAAAATTGAAGCTACGCTTCTCTTCTTCGGGTTGGGATTGTGAATCGTCAGTTGTGATAGTTTTCTGAAATCAACTCTAATTAGCATTGTATGGAAAATTGAAATTCAGACTTATTTAAGACTAAATTTAAAATGGATAAGTAAAATCTTACCTGAACTGACATGTTACTGTCAGTGCTTTCCTTGATCTCAATCAAAGGCTTATTATCGGAAGAGTTAGTACCAGAATCGTCGTCAGATCTCGCTATTATCAGATTATCAGAGTCGCTACTGTCGCTGTCCGATTCATCAATGTAAGCCTTACTGATAACCCGTTTTCTCTTTGAACTGATAATTTCACTCCTTGTAGAACAGCTCGGAAGATCGCCTTTCAAACCAGTTTCAGGAAGCTTTATTTTATTTTCAATAATTTTTATTTCTTCCTTGAGTTTGTCTTCAGCAGGAGATTTAACTTTCGTTTCCACACTGAGTTTGGGTTTATTATCAGCACTAGATGTTGAAGGCTCGGGTTCTTTGTCCAATTGGATAGGTAGAGTAAAGGCAGGCTTCATATCGATTTTCTCCGTTTTTGTTCCTAAACTATCTAATAAACTGCTATTGGTACTGGGGTCGCTTTTAACAGTTTTTAAATCAAAGTTATTTTTGATGGAGTTGAACTTTTCTAAAATAGAATCGGCGATTCTGGTACCCGTTTTAATTGTAAACTCTTTTCCGGTGTCGTCTAGCTGGGGATTGAGTATTAGCGGTGGGTTTGAAAATATAGATTCTAAAAGAGAACTGTCGGTTTCTTGAAGAGCTGGGTCAATGGGCTTTTTCGGTGATACAGGTTTCATAGTATCGATAGGAGATTCCAATTTAATGGGATCCAATTCTTCTTTTTCTACCGTTAACTCCTACCAAATAAGAAAAACAAAACATTATTAATCTCAAATAAAACAAACAATAAGTGAATAGTTAACTCATCTCATTTAAATAGGTTATTATCGTTTAAAACTGCCTTTTTCTTAAACCTTTATTCAATATTTCAGTTGTGATTTTCTTGGGTACAGGTTTTTTTTATTAAATTAAATGATTTTTAGGTGTTTTCAAAATCATTTATTTGCCGACGTTTCGATTTTTAATGCAAATCTTTCTCAAGGCATCTCAGATGTTGTTTCCGCCGTTGACGGTCAAATAACATCTGAGATGCCTTGAGAAAGATTTGCATAAAAAATCGAAACGTCGGCATTTATTTAAATGATTTAAAAACACCTAGAAATTATTTAATTTTTAATAAAAAAACCTATACCCAAGGAAATCACAACTGAAATATTTTTTACTAAATATACAGGGTATCCTAATATTTCGTGGCCATAGAACTGCTAACTGTTTTAAGATACGTTAAGAATCGATATTCGGATTTGAATGGGATTTGCGTGCCTATGTTTAGCGAAGTGCTTTACCATTTGACTTTCAGAAAAGTGAAGAAAAAGTACGGGAAGGGTGAAAACTGCCCCCACTCCTGCAAAAATGTTAGTAGAAATATTTTCCAACACCACCCAGGAATGATTTTTTTCCAAAAATTGGCGTTCTAGTATTTACTACATTTTTTTATCTCTTGTAAAAACTCCACTGCTCATACTTCATACTTTTAGATGAAAAAAATGATTTTGCAAAGATGACTTACAAAAAATATTTCTTGTCACATCAGCTATATGTAAGGGCATAAAATCCGGTATGTGCTAATAATATACAGGGTAAGCCTTAAATAAGTGCAAATATTTTCTGGGCTGGTAGATCTCCACAAAAGAAACTTATTTTCTCCATACCGCTATTTAAATAAGTCCAAAATAACCAAGTTATTTTACTTTGAAAATATGACAAAAAAAATTGAGAACCACTAGATCTTTTCTGGGTTTTCTTTCTTGTAAATTTAATGTACTACCCATGTTGCCATATTGTGAAGAAATTATGTTTGTAACTAAAAATTAAAAAAAATCAAAAAATTTTAAAAAATTCCAAATTTTCAAAAATGTTTCTCGCCGAAAAAATCATAACCGTGTTTCTGGGGTCGAAATATACTACCCCTAAAAATATTTGCACTTATTAAAGACTCACCCTTTAGATGGCGAAAATATCGAATTTTATGTTATCCCAAAAGATAATTGACAATGATCTTCATACATTTTAAATTGCTTAACGTTCAGGTTTACATTTTATTGATGTCCTCTAACGGACAAACGAAGGACTTTTATCTAGAGATTGTGTGCATTTATCTTATTTTCTTTCAAAAAATACGTAGTAAATGAGTTGTTCTATGTACACGGAATACACGGAATATTGGAACTCTGTATATTTTGGAGGTCTGTTTTAGAAAAAAGAATTCTCTAAAAAAAATCTTAAAAACTAGAAGGAAACATTTTACGAAAAAAAAGTCGTCGGAGTTTGAAAAATTGAAAATATTTCTAATAAAAATTATGTAGGGTGAAGCATAGAGAAATATAAAATAAAAGAGTTGTCATTTCCATAGTCAAAAGTAGGCAACACGTTTAACGAGGATCGATTGTAGCGCACCCTTAAGCCCTAACTGAACTAATGGAAATATGACAGACGTAATCGGTAAAATAGGTATCTGCATTACCTATCACAAAAAAGGGGGGTAGTTTAAATGTGAGTATAAAATTTTATGCATGATCGAATAAAAACGGCGTCAACGATGGCTATGAAATGAAGATCGCTGTCATTTTATATGTAAATTATATGAGAAATGTCATCGATCGTCATTTCCTAGCCAACTGGGCGCCGTTTTTTTTTCGATCATACGGTAGTTTCCAGTTATCGCATACTTTTTCTTATTTTTTGTGAAAATCATATGCTAAAAATATATGCTTAGCAAATCATAGGCACCCCAAATCTCATTCAAATCGGAATATTGGTTCTTAAAGTATCTTAAAAAATGTGTTTATTTTTTTTAACGTTTGATAGCTCTTAACGGATAAACGAAGCACTTTTGTATAGCGGTAAATTGTGTCCAATGAACTTATTTAGATTCCAAAAATACGTAGCAGATTTATGTCCAGGAAATATTGGGACAGTAGATATCAAAATTTTACTTTATACTTTTACGCTTCTACACATTTGCTAGATGAAGAAATTTATAAAAGAAAAGTTATTCAGAAATGAATTTTGGTAGCAATGATATAACATAACACAAAGTCAAATCAAATAAAAATAATTTCTAATACCTTTTTTTCAGATAATGAATTGTAATTTTATATTTTTAAATAAAAAAGATTAAAAAGAAATTTATAAGTAACCTACCTTTACTGGTGATGGCGCTAAAACCACAGGTTCCTTGATTTGTACAGGAGTCGGACTAAGCCTGAGAAGTGCAACAGGCTTCTTAACTTCTGCTGGCGTTATACAACTTGTCAAGTCTATGTCTAAAATGGCACCATTACTATCATCATCCGACGAAGAACTCTGTTCAATCACCCTTTTTATTTGAGCTTGGATATCTTCGTCATCACTGGTCAACGTTTTACCTAAGGCGATTATTTATTATCACTACTTACTTTAAATAGGAACACTATAAAAGCAATTTTCACGAGCGACTAAACAGGTACCGAACACAATTCAGAATGAATTAAAAGATCACACCGCCGTTAAGTAACTCAGAACATGAATGAATTGAATCCAATAGGAATGCGTCTTTCCCCTCTTAACCACTGATGTCGGTTGTTCAAACCAATAGGATTGCGCCTCTCTCCTCTCCGCCCCCTTACGTCATTCTAACCCAACTTCAAGTAAGAAGTGTAAATATCTTAAGAAAAATATGTGAAAGATGGAGATGGATATTTTTGCTCATTATATATATTTCAGGAATATTTTATTCAATTAAAATATGAAGATATTTTAATCAAAAATGAATATATTTTTCCTTATACGCACTGTAAACTATAAAAAGTTATGTTTACTGGATACTTAAATTAAAACAAATCGTATTAAAAACTACCAAAGATTACCATATTAAAGGTGTGATATTTGATACAACCTAAAATTTTAAGATGCGTTCAGAACCGAACATATCCCGAATAATTCGCGAACAAAATACTAATAAAACATTGTGAATTGAATTTTATATATTTCAAAAAATTCTTTTAATCCTGCGGACGCAATCCTACACTGGTTCAAAATTATTTATTACAGAAAATTAAAAATTCTGTCACTTACCTTCGTCAATTTTGCTGGTAGAAAACTCTAGATCAGGACTATTTCTTTCTGAAGATTTTGAAAACGGATTGTTGAATAACGTATTTTCCCTTGTTAATATTTGAGTTTGCGATTCACAATCGGACAGCTCCATATCGCGGCTGTATTCGTCAGACATCTCCGGTACTTCCCCGAATAAAGTCAAAGATACGTCCAAAATATTTGACACCTGTAATAACAGAACTAACACTTAAAACTGTTGATTGTCGATGAAGAGCCCGCGGAAAAAACGAGGCCATTTTTTGCTAATTTGGTTTTAATGTATAATATTTTTCGTCTTAAAAATGGAAAAAATGAAAAGTTCATGCGTAATTTGAATTAAAAAAACGGTTTCCTGAACATTTGTTGTTTTTGGACACTCATTGTTTTTCCCGTGTGCTTTTCATATTAGACCTGTAGAATCTAATAAACCGCGTCAAGTTACTTTAGAAATGACTTCATATTGGACTTACTCGGACTAATGAGTCCAAGTAAGTCCAATATCGTCGTTGTTGACAGAGATATACAAAAGTTTTATATAAATGTTGATTGGGTTTATAAATATGATAAAATTGTATTTTTTTAATTGCAACCCCCATTTTTCTGTAGAGAATTGTATTAAGCATAAAATTCTAAAAAGGGTAACAGAATAAAAAAGAGAGAAAGAAAAATCATTATTTTATACAGAGGATTTTTAATGGCATGATCAACATCGCAATATTTAAAATGTATTTAGTAATATCTCATTTTTTTAAATACCACATCCTGTATATTATTTTTAATTTAGATACGAAATTATAAAATTCTAGATGTTTATTCAGGTGGTTCTTTCAATGGTAATTTTTTGACAAAGACACCTAATGATTTTATCCAGTACTTTACCATTGAAAGAGCCAATTCTGTGTAATTTAAAGAAACTTACGACTTTATATTTACTTTTTGGGGATACCCTGTATTCAACAAAATGTTTTTCAAGGCAGCTTAATAAACCATGCAACATTTAAATGAGGCTTTTAAATTGACCCTGTGTATATAATTATGGGGTAAATAAAAAATCATCAATAAATGTCGTCTGGTGTCATTTTCTATCTAGCTCTTTATGGTATAATATTTAGTTCACAATAAATACCAGAAGGATAATTTATTTTTTCTAAATATTCTCTCATAAAACCAGTAACCATAAATTTACGATAACATACAAAATAATTAGTTTCTCAAAGTGATTACAATGAAAAAAAGACAATTGTCAAGGTTGAAATATGTAAAGGTACAATACCGCAGGTATCAAGATATAAAATAAAGTCTTTAAAATTTACTATAATATTGGGGAAATTGTTGGCGGGTGCTATAATACAATTAAATATATAGAAATATGTAAATTTAGCACTGTTATATTGTATTGCGTATTGCCTTCAAGGGTCGTATATTTTATAGTGTTATTCACGCTATTCGATGCGGAATATTGTAGCTAAACGATTAGATTTTTAGAAATTGTGAATGTTGGAGCCGGTAAAGGACCACTAGAAACTAGAAGTACAATTTAAAATATTTTGAAGTAGTGTCGCAAATAAATTAAAAAAATATTTAAGTTGATTTTATTTTTAATGGAATATCCTTTATATTTTAATATCTTTAGTTTCTTCTACTAAAATAAAGATAAATTTAATTAGGGTTTACCTTTTAATTAGGTTAATCTTACAGTTTATGAAAAATTTACAATTTTGTAAAAATACTGTAACAATTTTAATGCTTTGTTTCTTTTGGCATATTTAAGTGTTTAAAAGTATCATAAGTCTCTTTATTTAATATATATATTGTGTTGCAATAATAAAAATATCACCAGCTTATATCATGCTCAAGTTTAAGAAAGGTAAACCTTAATCAAATTTAATTTAATTTTAATCGTAGAAGCCAAAAATAAAAGAATATTCAGGATATTTAATTAAAAAAAATACAACTTTAATATTAATTATTAATTTGGGACACTCTGTGCCATATGAAAATACTTTTAAATTGTAGCTCTAGTGGTCCTTTAACGACTTCTACACTCAAAATTTCTAAAAATTTAAATATTTAGCAGCAATACTAACGTGCCGAACAGCGTGAATAACCTATATTGCTATAAAATATAATAAAAGATACGTTGCACAGAGGAGTATTTTCGTCTAAAATCCGGTCATAAAAGGAATTTATCAAATGTCGTAAACATGTACTAGTGTCACATATTATTGAAGCTCATGAGCCAAGCCATCCAACCAGATTCACTTATACCACCTAGTTTGTTGAAATTTGTCGCAGAGGCCGTGGAAACCCAGGCATTTTTTAAACCACATATGCTTATTCCTGGCGCTTACATTTATTTTCAATATTTGTGTTATAATTACTTGTTGGTGTAATTAATTGTGAAAAATTAAAATTATCACTATGGAGTTCAAGATATGTAGATCATTATAAAATAGAAATTCATTTATTTTGTATAGCATGAATACGTGTAAAAAATAAAATTAAATGGAACCGAAAAGTTCAGATTAATTTGTCTAATGTACAGGGTGTCCCACTAAGAATAGCTCTCGGCTGTATCTCGGAAAGTATTAGCCGTAACGGCTGCGGAAAAAAATATTTATAACTAAAAAGGCTATGGGAAAATGGCTGGAAATTATTTTCAAGTTTGTAGAACGACTGCTAGGGGGCGCAACTGCAACAAAAAATATAGAGTTTTTACACAATTTTGCCTAGATAAGGTGTACTATAAGTAACAGCTTCATAATCTTCAGTAAATTTTGAATATTTTTTGTTAGAGTCATTTTCCCCTATCTACCAAAATGAAGTGGTGGGGGAAGGCTAGATCTGTTTTTATTTGAATACTAGCGTGTACCAGCGACTTCGTTAGCGTCTAATTAATCATTTGTAATGGTGATGATAAAGCAAAGCAAGAATTTACATTAACATACGCACTGGATAAAATTTTCTCACATTTATGTCAGCATGAGAAAAAACAATATGGCGATATTATTATATAACTTGGTAATATTTGAGGGGTAGTTTCATCTCGTTGAAATTTGACTTTCGAAAAATCCGTTTGCCAAAAATAAGCTTTTTACATCAAGCAGTTTAAGCAATCGTGGTTAAGAAATTACCCAACTTTTTGGAACACCCTGTATGATTTTTTAAAAAATTTCAAAATATGTAAAAAAACCAACTAAATTATGCTTGTCCAAGCGTTTTCTAACCGTTTTTTAAATAAGGCGTTTTCACCCTCTTGGAGTTTGAGATTTGAGAAACTCCTCCTTATCGAAGCTCTACACCCCACAGTCAATCCGTTTGCCAAAAAATCAGCTTTAAACGTCAAGCAGTTCAAGCAGAATCGTGATTACTCAATGGTCATATTTTATGAAACACCCTGTATAAATTTATAAAAAATCTTAAAATATGTAAAACAACAAAATAAAATATACGTGTTTAAGAGTTTTTCCGAAAAACTCACCGGTTTTTAAATAAAAAATATTTTAATATTTGAGGGATAGTTTCACCGCCCCCTTAGAATTCGAGTTTCGAAACAACCTCGAACCTCTACACCCTGAAGTCAATCTGTTTTTCAAAAATCAGCTTTTTACGTCAAGCGCTTTAAGCAGGATCGTGATTAATCAATGACCAGATTTTTCGAAACACCCTGTATACATTTTTAAAAAATCTTAAAATATGTAAAAAAATAAAATAAAATATACGTGTTTAAGCGTTTTTTCGGAAACTTGACCGTTTTTTAAATAAAAAATATTGTAATATTTGAGGGGTGGTTTCACCCTCTTGGAACTGGAATTTCGAAAAATCCCTTCTTATCGAACCTCTACATCCTAGAATCAACCTGTATGCCAAAATTGAGCTTCTTACGTTGAGTGGTTTGAGCAGGATCGTGATTAATGAGTATGTCAGTCACTTAAGGATTTTATATATTAGTATAGACTCTGCACTGGATGATCGGAATCCAACAAGCGAGGGCTCGTTTAAAAGAGCGTTTCTTACTCTATATTGTACCATATAAACAATAATAATAAGCTTTTGAACGTAGACGCTAGGAGGCGTTGTCTTACAATTTAACAAACATTGCGCGTTTTTTTCAAAAAAAAAATAAATACAATAGTATATGTAATTTTAGCTGATAGTAAAGAGTAGTAAAAGTTTAAAAAGTCAGCGAAAACCGCATATTGATATCTTCTTTCAAACCGAAGATATTAGCAAAATTATAATAAATACCAAAAAATAAGCCCTTAATTACCTTACTTTTACAACACGGTATCAGTAGCCCTCTTGATTATGCCCATTCTAACCTAAAAATAAGATAGAAACAGTTAGTTTATTTTAAAATCGACGATATACCGGAATATCATAATATCAGATGTATTAATATCTAATAATTAAGATATTAATAATAGTGAACAAGAAACGATGATTCAGTGAAGTCATGGTAGGCTTTGGAAAAAAGTTGCTTTTGACGTAATAGTATAAACGTCAAATTGTTATTAGATCAACATTTTGATAGTCTTAGCAGCGTTTTTTATCTTTTGATTGATTTTTCAAAATGCCAACAACTTTAACTACTTCAAATAATAAAGGCATTTTGAAAAAGCATTTAAAAGATAAAAAACGCTGCTAAGACTATCAAAATGTTGATCTAATAAAAATTTGACGTTTATATAGTATAAACGTGATAAGCAACTTTTTTCCAAAGCTTACCAAGACTTCACTGAATCATCGTTTCTTGTTCACTATTATTAATATCTTAATTATTAGATATTAATACCTATGGTATTATGGTATTCTGGTATTTCGTCGATTTTAAAATAAACTAACTGTTTCTATCTTATTTTTTTGTTAGAATGGGCCTAATCAAGAGGGCTACTGATACTGTATTGTAAAAATAAGGTAATTAAGGGCTTTATTTTTTGGTATTTATTATAATTTTGCTAATATCTTCGGTTTGAAAGAAGATATCAAGATGCGGTTTTCGCTGACTTTTTAAACTTTTACTAGTCTTTACTACTAAAATAACTAAAATAAATACTAAAAAAGTGCTAAAATAGCACATACTGTCGTATTTATTTTTTTTGAAAAAACGCGCTGTTTGTTAAATTGTAAGAAAGCGCCCCCTAGCGTCTACGTTCAAAACATTATTAATATTATTATTATGGTATAATATAGAGTAAGAAATGCTCTTTTAAACAAGCCCCGCTTGTTGGATTCTGATCATCCAGTCCGGAGTTATTAACATTTAAATAAAGATAGATCTAACCCCCCCCACACTTTATTTTAGCAGATATGGAAAATGGTTCTAACAAAAAAAAATCCAAAATTTACTGAAGATTATGAAGCTATTATTTATAGTACCCATTATCTAGGCAAAATTCTGAAAAAAATATATTTTCTTATTTTCCATAGCAGTTGCGCCACCTAGCGGCCGTTTTACAAACTTGAAAATAATTTCCAGCAATTTTTCATAGCCTCTTTAGTTATAAATATTTTTTTTCCGTAAGCCCTACGGCTAATACTTTCCGAGATACAGCCGAGAGCTATTCTTAGTGGGACACCCAGTACACATATAATACTGTTTTTGTTTATGAATGGGGATTTATCGGGCATTTATTTTATCATTAACAAGTTATTTAGAATACCTATTTGTTGAAGCAACAAAAAAACAGTGCGCCATTTTTATTTTCAATGACTTAAAGATGCCAGGTAGATATGTGGAACGCATGTGCAGAAAAATACACACTACAGGGATCTCGTAAACCATAAGAGATATAAAGACGATTAAATTAGAGAAAAGTTGCGCCGTGCTGTATATTATTCCTAATGTTATTTTTTATGGCTCTATTTGAAAAGATGACAATACTAATTTTACATTACTATTGTTACATTTCCTGCTCTACAAGTTGATGTTATTATATTTTGAATCTGACGTTTCGTTCCCGAGATACCTTTATTTTTTAAACACGGACCTGAATCATTTATTGCATTTTTTAAAAGTTTATGATCCCTCAAATACAATGATGTAGAATATTAACCCCCAGAAAATGCATAATAAAGAATATTTTCGTAAGATGCAATGATTTGGAGCAGATGTTGAAATATGTTGTAGAGGGATATGTATATGTATGTGCGTAAAAACGACCAACATTTTTTGAGTAATTATGATACATTATTGCATACAGAGGTCATAAACTCTTTCTTGAAGAGAGAGAAATAAGAAAACTTACAGGTCTCGTTTCTGGCGGCTTGTCCGGACTAGTTTTGATAATATTAAAACTAGGGGAGACAATCAATTTATCAAAAGGATCTTCATTCTTCTCTTCAACTTCGGGCTTATCATCTTCCAGAAGTTCATCCTCTTCCTCTTCGTCCGATATATGAACCGGTTTAGGTATTCTGGAGTAAGTTTTTGGTTCGGGCAAATCAAGCTTTGTTTCGCTTTTTTCTGTAAATGTATAAATACGCGGTACAATAAAAAACCGGGTATCGAAAAAAAAATACTTATAAAACAATATCAAAGATGTAATCTTTGACAATATCCTATACAAATCATCAAACAATTCATAATTGATAAATAGTTTACTTTTTTTTTGTTAATGAGTTTTTTTTAAAGAAACACAACTATTAATAGTGATGTAACGAATATTCACATTCGCATTCGCGAATATTCGCACTCGCGAATATTCGCACATTTTTTGATATTCGCTTTCGCATTCAAAACATTTATGCAAATACCAAAATGTTCGAAAAAATACATAAAATGTGTAAATAACAATGGGTAAATTATACAAGGATGAATTTCTGTTTTAAATTAAAATAATTATATCAATTGAAGGGTCCAGGAGAAAAACTTCATAAATGCCAATTTCTTAATTTTAGAATTTTATAATAATTTTATTATATACGTCGTACAAAATAAAAACCGTTGCGGGCTATCGATTAGGCTAATAAATGTGTGCAGTGCTACCACTACACAAATATGGCCCTGATGGGACGTTTTCAATGAGTTTTAAATCTCCCACTCGATATTGTGTTGGCAACGGCGAGGAAGCGGTTGCAGCGGTGCCACGCTTATTTGACATTTGCCAGAATTTTCTAAACGTTAGTTGAGAGTTTTGTCTCGTGTCTATTGTATCTTTTTAAACCTTTATTTATCGATCGAAAACTGTTGTTTTCAGAATATTTTGTGTAGTAATTGTTAGTTTTTTCTTTGAAAAATGCCTAAGCAGTTAAATAGTCGGTGCCAATAATTAGTGTCATCTCTGATATAATATTTTGAGAAAGGAAGGGACAACGTATATTATAATATTATATTTATTATATAATATTATAATAACGTATTTTAAAGTATATTATAATAAAGTATTTTAAAGTAGACCAGTGAAGTGAGTTTTTTTTATTTTGAGAAACAAAACCTACTAATCTTCTATGGAAAATACTTTTTAATTCTTGAAATATTTCAAAAAGTTGCCTATATATTTTATAATCATTTACCACTCTTCATAATAGATAATATTTTGAATTGCCCGAAACCCAGACTGTTATTAATTAAACAAAATGTTTAAAACAATGTTTTTAAGACACCATCACTTGTTTTAAAGAGTATTAAATAGGTTTGGTGTGTAGGTGTTTATTTCAATAAAAAATGAGAAAAACTCTTCCAAAATAAAAAAAAAACAACTATAATACAAAAGGAATAAAAAACAAAGTAATCAGCTCAACTTAATATTGTCTAAATAAACTATTAATTCTGTACTACTACTTGGAGGAGCACCATTAAGGTTTCTAAAATCGAATTAAGTTTTGTCCTTTGGCTTTATCATTACTCAACATGATATGGTTTAAAACAGAGTATAAAAGTGTTGTAAACATATTTTCGACTTTTTTGTATTTACAATGTTCTTTAAACCATAAAAAAAATTTAAACAATAAAAAAACAAGTTTTGTTTAAAAATATTTTTGAAACTATTTAAAACTGTTAACAATTTAAAGTTTATTTTAGAATTTTTAATAGATCTTAGATATAGTAAATTTTTCAAAAATATTTCTCCACCGATTACAATCTGGCAACAATGCTGTCTACAATCAACGCACGTGCTCGATGACATGCAACGGTTTTTATTTTGTACGACGTTTTAGTGAGTCTAACTGGTCAATAATAGGTAATTCTGCAGGGCAATAAGTTGTTAAATCCTACGATATATATATGCCTAGGAAAAATATAGAATACACGGAAAGAACCTGATAACTACCAACCGTCCAGTGCTCTCATGTAAAATTAGTAAAATGACGTTTTCCCCTGTACCCTTCAATTGAAATTACATTAACTGTAATTAGAATCTTGGGGATTTTGTTTAAGTGCTAACCTAAAGTATGTACTAGAATGTATTTCAACAAAATATTTTAACTTCTACAGGGTGACTCAAAAAAGTGTGAGTGGATCGGGATGATTTTTTTTAATGGAACACCCTGTATATTATTACATTTTTGGCTTCCTTTCAGATCACTTTACATAATCCTAAGATATGAGTAGATATATTTTGATAGTTTCAGAGATATTAACAAATAAATAAAAAAATTAAAAAGAAGAAAATTAAAAAATTAAAAAATGAACATCTTTTGTATTTAGAGTATTTCAAAATTTTTAACGGCTTCGCAGATACACACGGTATTATTTCATATGGCTCTTTCAGCGGTAAAATACGAGAGAAAAATCATTGGGTGGCTTTGCTAAAAGTTTACTATGGAAAATGCCGTATATATCTGCGAAACCGTTAAAAATTTTGAAATACTCTAAATACAAAAAATGTTTATTTTTTAATTATCCATCTATTGAAGAAATAATATACAGGGTGATCCATTTAAAATAACGAAGAAAAATTATTTTATATTTTAGAAAGTTAGTTTAGGCGTAGAATTTTGAACACCCTGTATGATTTAAGATTACGACATTTATAGCAAAGTAAGTACAGACCATCTAAAGTGAACACCTAATATAGTTCTGATTTCGGATCAGTTAGGTTAGACTTGTATTTTTAATAATTTCTTTAAAAAAGGCTGAAAAAATATATTTTTTTATTTATTTATTAATATATCTCTGAAACTAACAAAACTTATTTAAAAAGATCTTAAGATTATGCAAAGTGATCAGAAAGGAAGCCAAAAATGTAATAATATACAGGGTGCTCCATTTAAAAAAAATCATCCTGATCCACTCACACTCTTTTGAGTCGCCCTGTAGAGGTTAAATTATTTTCCTGACATACATCCTAATACATACTTTAGGTTTGCACTTAAACCAAATTGCTAAGTTTTTTTTATTTTAGGAACTACAGCTGCCCAACGCACTATTGCCGAACCCTGTATAATAATATAATAAATAGTTAACATTTAATAGAGATTACTAAACAAAATATGTATATCCTTTTTTAAAACTTTTATCAGTTTTTACATATGTATATTATTGATATTCTTTTATTTTGAACTTAATCATCTTGTTTATAAAACCAAAATATTCCTCTATTAAACTTTATGACAAAAAATATTAAATATCCAACAACTAAGCCCTGTGGCATACTGTGCGTTTTTGCGGTTGCCGCAGAAACGCAGAGATGGCGACAACACATGATTTTATATGAGACATGGCCCCCATGCGTTTTTGCTGCAACACTGGCGCTGTGTGTATTGTATATGGTTGGTGCAGCAGCAATTAAACCGGATGCCTTTCAACAGCACCGCAAAAAGGCGCAGTGTGCCACCAGGCTAAGGTGTATTCTTCTCGTAAATTTTTATTAATATTTACATAAATTTACTTTTATTTTAAACTTAAAATAAGCATATTCTTTTATAACTCAAAATACTAATAACAAACCATAAATTTATTAATAAATAATATCATTTTGAGGCCCAAAGAAATTACAATTACAACAAAAAAGAGCAATAAACTAAAGTCTGTAAGGGTGTAATAATGCAGGTATAAAAGTCCGCGTGCGTCTCAAAAGTGGCTCACCCCTATAACTTTTTTATTTTTTCAGATGAAAAAACGAGATTTGGTACGTTAGTATATGACATAAATTGGGATTGATTGACATATTCAATTGATTTCTGTCACTTCCCGTTTCACCGGAAATGACTACAACTTTTGATTTTTAAATGACACCCTCGGTATTTTTTTTACTTTATTCGATTGAAAATGGCACTCTGAATCGAATGACATATCATAAGTCAACTTGTGACATATTCGCTCAAAAACAAATTGTATTTTAAATTTCAATCTAGAGTGCTATGACTGTGTTAAAAACACTAATTTTTAATCAAGGAACCTTGGAAAAATAGATTTGATCGTCTAATGTTTTTAGTGTCTTGTCCTGGCCGGTTAAAAGATGCCCAAATCGTATTTTTAATCATAATTCATTTTTTTCAAATAGAACGAGGGTGGCCCATTAGAATATTTTGAAAAAGCATTTTTTTACGAATAATTTGATACCACACACTTGGTATTTCGAGTCAAATTGTCGTTATGAACCGCATGTTACAATTTCAAATAAACCATATGCGAAAATGTCAAAAGTTGACATATGATATGTCATTCGATTCAGAGTGTCATTTTCTATCAAATAATGTACAAAAATACCGAGGGTGTCATTTAAAAATCAAAAGTTGTAGTCATTTCCGGTGAAACCGGAAGTGACAGAAATCAATTGAATACGTATATCAATCCCAATTTATATCATATTCTAACATACCAAATTTCGTTGTTTTATCTGAAAAAATAAAAAAGTTATAGGGGGTGAGCCACTTTTTTTTACTATTTAAGTAAAGGTTAAATAATACCCTTGTATATATATTTTTAAAGTAGATCAATCTAAGACGTTTATGGATGTAAAGCACCAGATGGCGGGGCGTATTTCACGGTCTTTTATTACAGAAAAATATTTTTTGTTACTCTGAATTTTGAAGCTACCAATAAAAACAGAGAAAATAAAAATCGATAATTTTCGGACTGTGCCAATTGGTTACTAATCGACCAGATACTTTTTATTAGATATGCTATAAAAGCTGGCAATTATACAATTCGACCATTGTTCCGACAAATTCTTCAACGCCGACGAGGCCGATGTTTCTCACTGATAAGAAATAAAAATGTTTGTTTAGATAATTTTCGAGGTATTTTTTCTTTCTGAATGCACATTTTAAAGTATTTTATATTCTTTGTCCCCTTGACCTATTATCCTGATCGCACGTATGGAAGTTCTGTTTCTTCTAGTTTTAGAAAATGTTCTTATTTCTTTTTTCTTTGCAGTTGTAGTGTAAAATTAGATTAATTTATTAAGTCTAATTATAGTGTTTAGTGTAGCATGTTAGTGTAGTCTACCAAAAATAGTTTAGTAGTGTTTTTATAGTTTATTTTGTAGTTAAGTAGTAGGTGAAGGGATAATTTTGTTA